TCTGCCGCCCAGCCCGCCCCTCCCCCACGGCCGCGGGGGGAGGAGGGGAACGCGCGCCACCGCCCCGCCCCTGCGCCCTGGGGGGGCCGCGTCCCAAACCACCCCTCCCCTCGGAGAGTAAGGTCACTAGGCCTGCCCATCCCCCGGCGAAGGGGTGAGAGTCCGCGCCCCCACGCAGCCCCTCCCCCACGGCCTCTAGGCAGGACCCGCGTCCCCATCCACCCCTCACCCCACGGTGGAGGGACCTGCCACCCTACACAGCCCCTCACCCCAAGCTCTGCCCTGCCCCCCCACGCCTAGGGTGGGTGAGGGGAACCTGGGCCTCTCCCTACTTGCTCCGAACCCTGTCCCTTCCCCGTGGCCTCCATTTGGAGACGAAGGAAACCCGGGCCTACCCCCACCTAGTCCCAAACGCTGCCTTGCCCCGCCACTTGGAGGGGACCGGAACTCGGGCCACCACCCCCAAGGTTGCCAGAGGAGAAGGGGAAGCCGGGCCACAGCTAGAGTGCTACCCTCCCCCATCTCAAAAAAGAAGCCGCCCAGCTGCCTTAACAGATGCCCCTGCAACCTGCCCGAGGGTGCATCTCCCTCAAATTCAGCAGTTTAGAGGACACCCCAGTGGTCTCTTCTCCCACCCCAAAAAGTGGGGGTTCACGTGGAGCCTCGACCTTTGCAAAACACCTCCCGGGAAGAGCCAGAAATGCTTGGGGAGAAAGAAACTCAAACACACCGGGTGGAAGCCAGGAGCTCGGATGTGGGGGCTCTGGGGGGTTAGGGGGGACCCGGGCCCTCGGGCCTCTTCAACCCCCGACCCCCACCCGCACACTTCAGACCTCTGGCATTTGCAAAGTGTTTTATGTTGCAATGGCTTACTCGGCCCAGCCCTAGTGCACCCAAGTCCCCCAGCGCTCCTTCCTTCCCTCCACTTTGGTGACAACTACTCACCGCTCGCGGCCTTAATTCAATTAAACAGATATCCGCGCCCCCCACCCCCAACCCAGCACCTTTGGTGTCTGCTTTGTTGACTATTTTAAAATAAGTTTGCCCCTCCCTTTGGTGTATAATGAGCTTCGCGCTCAGAGCCCAGTACACTCAGCATTTTAAACTGTAACCTCACTTGCTCCTTTCGGAGACACTGGACCATTTGTTGTTCTGGTTGTTGGGGGCGGGGGGCCCGAGGTGACTTTTTAAGGGGTTGGTCCTTCATCAAAAAGGCAGACCTAAAAATTACCCTGCAAAATATTGCTGTAAAACGTCACTGATGTAAAACGAATGTTGCTACACCACTATTAGAGCACATCAATAAAAAATACACTTACACAGTCTCCATAATTGTGAATCAGCAGAATAGATTGTGTCTTATTATGTATCAGTTGCCATTCAAGACCCCCCAAAAGGACGTGCTGGGGCCTTCCCTTGAGCCTGCCCGTCGTTGCTCCCGGGCTCCCTGGGCTTGTGCAGACTGATGCTGAGGTGTTACATGCAATCGAAAAACCAAGGGTGCAACAGAAAACCCGAGCGAGTTCCTGATGCAACCCTGCCCCGGTGACACGTGCTTCCCTTCCCCCACCGCCTGCTGGTGGGAGCGCTGCATTTTTTCCGCCTGTAGGGTCACATTGTGGTTGATTGATTCTCCTTTCGCCTTGCTCAGTCATTCAGATTTGGAAAGTAAATAACAAGTTGACATCATTACAGCTCTCGGCTTTACCGGGACGCGGCCCTCGGCTACCGCACACTCTCGAGTAGCGGCGCAGCCCCACTGGCCCTCTGGCTTGCCAGCCCTGCTTGTTGTTAGCTGCTTGGAAATTCCGAACCGAACTTAGTGAAAAGGCCTCTTTGTATGTTTTGATTACTTGGCAGATGTCAATCACTTAAAGTATGAGAAAGTGGTGGAAATCCTCGCCCCAAACTGTGACCCAGTGTGACCAGTTTACACAGCTGGTCTTAGGTAACTAACGATGCACCGGAGCTCAGAATCCATCTTGCCTGTTTGATAATGTCCCAATAATCCCAAGGGTCTCCTTGCGACTAATGGGTGGAACGCTTTTATCCTAGACTCCTAGGACCCCCAAGGGACTTGATAAGACTTCAGACAGGAAAAGAGACCCCCTCCGTTTATCATACTATCACCGAAATTTCTCTTTCTGAAAGGCTAGATGGGTGGTAGGTGGGTGGTAAATTAGACTATTTTATTTAATCTGTTCTGCAGATTTTTCGAATGCGCAGTCTTAAAAGGTGGGAGAAAACAAGGAAAAAAGGAAATAAAATAGAATGCGGACGGAACTAGTGCCTTCTGATCAAAGTAAAGGTTAACATGCAGGACATCAGCAGCGATGAGTTCCACGGACTGCCCAACATCTATGTTCTAAGCAATGATTTTTGTAATTTTATTTATTTATTTATTTTTCCCCCAAAGCCCCAGTAGATAGTTGTATGTCATAGTTGCACATCCTTTTAGTTGCTGTACATGGGACGCAGCCTCAGCATGGCTGGACAAGCGGTGTGTCAGTGCACGCCCAGGATCTGAACTCAGGCCGCCAGTACCCGGGCCGCCAGCAGCGGAGCACTGCGCACGCAACGGCTAAGCCATGGCGCTGGCCCTAAGCAATCATTTTTGGTTGCTGACTGGAGGGACCTGGAATACAAGAATTTGCTCACAACAAATGCTATCCGTATTTCTCCTGAGGAGTAGCCAAAATTTTCATTAAAGGCAGGAAGAATGCACACAAACAGACTCAACGAATCCTTGACAGAGAGCAAAGCCATTTCAATGGAGAAAGAAGA